TTTAAAGTTTCTTATACTAGGGATACAGTACGATGTTTACACTTAGAGTATGGCCTCCAGTTGCACCCATTTACCTATACAACATTGAGTTTATCTTTGTTTATAGCTGAGTAGTACTCCATTGTCTATAAATAACACATCTGTTATCTGTTCGGTGGTTGATGGGCATTTGAGTTATTCTAAGATCTAATTATTACAAATTGTGCTGTTAGAAACAGAAATACCCATATATCACTTGTGGTATGATGTTTTTAAATGTTCTGGGAAGAAGGAGGATAGCTGGATCAAACGGGATCTCTAATCCTGGTTTTTTGAGAATCTCCACACTGATTCCACAGTAGTTGCACCAGTCTACACTCCCGTGAACAGGCAGAAGGGTTACTTTTTCCCCACAGCCCCCACCCCCCAGCACATGTTATTGGTTGATTGCTTGTGATTGGTTGATTGGTCTCTGACCAGTGAATTGATGCTATTTGCATTAGTGGTTTAAACTGCTAAGCTTTGGCTTATCTTTGTCAGGCTATTTTCCTGTTGTTGGTTCCCTGTTTTTCCCCTCTGTTCAATTGCTTTCCTTGCTTAGTAGTTTCCTTCTCTTTCAGTTCTGGGAGTTGTGGCCATTTTTATCTCCGTCTAGAATATCTTTCAGTTCTCTATCTAGGGTTGGTTTGGTGGAAATGAATTTCTTCAGTTGTTCTTTGTCATGGAAGTTTCTTATTTCTCCATTAATTTTGAAAAACAGTTTTGCAGTGTACCTCAATATGGGTTGTAAGTTGTTTTCTTTCAGGGCTTGAAATACTTCGAGATCTTCTTGACTTGAGGGTTTGTGTGAAGTTAGCCATGATTCTAATCGGCTTTTCTTTAGAGATGATCTGTTTCTTTTCTCTGACAACTTTCAATATTCTGTTTTCACGCTGAATTTCTGGGATCGTGATTATTATATGTCTGGGTGTAGATTTATTTTGTCTATGGTTATTTGGAGATCTATATTCTCAATTGTCTGTATGCTGACCTAATTCTGTTCCCATGTTAGGAAATTTTTCTCTATTACTTCTACAAATAGTTTTGGTTTAGTCATTTGTGTGGATTCTTGCATTTTCATTGACACCTATCAGTTTTATATTGCTTTGCATCGTCTTGGAGCTGTTGAGTTGTTATTTCATGTTTTTTTTTTGTGATTTTTAAGAGATCTTACCTTGTGTTCTCAGTAGCCATGATCCTGTCTTATGGTCTGAAAGTCTATCTCCAGTTTCATTCAAGCAGTTCTGCCAGCTTTTAGTGGAATTTTCAATTTCCTGTATATCTTTTTAAATGTTTCAAGCATTCTATTTCTTTTCTGTATTATTCATTCAAGGTTTCCATCATTTTCACATGCTCCTGTAATTTTTTCAATGCCTTCTCTACGTATACTGAGCAATTCTTTTATTAAAGTTGTCATTTCATTTTTTTTATTTGAGAGATTATCTTTGATATGATTTCCTCTATAGTTTCATGAATTTTTTTCTTCACTTGCTATCTTTCCAGAAATTTCAGCTATGTGTGTTGTGGTGGCTTTTATGTCCCTGTTACCTGTACTCATTCTGAATGGACTGGAGGTGTGAGGTTGCATTTTGTTGTTTGTCTGGTCATTTACACCTCTTGCTTCATATTTGGTCTTTTCAATCTCTCTCGTCTTTCCTGTCCATTGTGTGCAGCTATTCAGGGTCCTGCTGTGTGACTGGCATTCACAGCTGCTAGGTCCCCTCAGGGTAGGGGACTGGCCAGTCATCTGAAGTCTTCCTGGGGAGGTAGTTGTGTGAGTTCTGGATTCTCCCCACACGGACCAGCCTAGGACTACTGAAGTGGATCCACCCTTGACTGGTGTTGTTACTGCTGTTTCAGACCCTTCCAGGCTGCCAGATCCACCTGTCCACGGCGTACGCCCCAGCCAGGACTCTGCTGTGTCATCGGGGTCTCACAGCCCTGCTGATGTCCTCTGGTGGGAAGGAGGGCTCCTCTTGTCACTTTTTATGTTAGTCACTTTTTAAATTTAGGAAGTAAAGTTGGAACTGAGAATGGGTATACGACAGGACTTTGTTAACTGTTGAGGACATTGGAAAGGATTAGGAAACAGTCCCTGTTCGCAAATAATTCCTTTTCCAGCATCGTTTTTTTTTTTGTTTTTTGTTTTTTTTTTTTTTTTTTTTTTTCATTTCCTTTGTGGAAGTGTCCTCTCTATTTAGACTTCCAGAATAACTTCTCTAGTTGCTTTTAACTGACCATTTGCTGTTAAGGATAGTTTTCTAAAGTACTAATCTGAAATCTAGAATTAATTATATTCCAAATCTCTATTCCAAAAGGAACAGGAAGCCACTGTGGTAAAAAAAAAAAAAAAAAAAAAAAAAAAAAAAAAAAAAAAAAAAAAAAAAAACAGCATCTCTACATAAATGTTACTGTATTCATGAATAGTTCTATGGGACATGTGGAGGTGGGTTTTTAGGCTTCTGTTATGAATTAACAATGGTCAACTTAACACCAGCTGAATTAAATCAGCGTGGTGCTGTGTGTAGATGGCCCACCTGAAGAAAGTTGCCAGCATAAATAGAGACGTGGAAAAGAAGAGAGGCATTGTAGGTTCTCCTAAGTGTTGCTGTTTTGAGCTGTTGGTTCTCCTGGAGGAAGTCATCATGGCTAGCTTCCCTGATGTATATTCAGCCATTATTATCTCAGGACCTCAGGACCTTGTCATTGAGAGTGGCTCTGGTTTCCACTGGGGGAGCTCTGCTCCTTACATCAAGCATCACTTCCTGGCTCTGGAGGGAAAGATGTGAGCCATTTAATCTCCAGGAGAAACTCATCATGCTGCCTTTCTGGTATAAACTCATCTGTTCTTATTGTTAGAGGAGCTCAAGACCTCCTTGTTGCTGAGGATGGCTATGGTACTTTACAGGGCATCCCTGGTCCTTATTTTGAGCGTGACTTCTTGGCTCCACCATAGAACCCTTAACTTACTGGCACAGCTCCTTCACCCCACTGGCATAGGCTTCCACCACTGACTTTCCAGCAGATCCGTAAAACAGACTGGTGTGAGTTCTTGTCGTGGGCTCTAGATCTCCAGTTGGACTAGTGGGAGGCATCCTTATGGGCTCTAGGTCTTCAGCTGAACTCATGCAGGGCATTGCTGTGGGATCCAGTCCGTTGGCTGAATATTCTGGGTGACCATCATAAATAATATTATAAATTCTGTGTCTGATTGTAATTATTCTCCTCACAACCCCTGACTACAACAGCTTCATTATCATGGCTTAGTTTCTTTTGCTAATAGCTGGGATAACTACATAAAATGCAAGTAGAAAAATAGCAGTATTAGCTTATAAATTTAAATATTATGCTTCACGAGAGCTGTATTAAGTAAAAATATTAAAGTGGATCAAATGAGATTTTGGTGCAATAATTAGTAGGCAGTTTTCACTATTTTAGGAGAGTGTCATAAATGTGAGAAGCCTAACTTGGAGGAAATTCAGTCATTTTAGTTTCCAACCTGATCTATTTTCAGAACTTTGAAAATACACACTCCTGTGTTCAGGTTAACGGATTGTCCTTTGAGTTATATTTGTGAGACTAGAAGGTGGTAACTTGACATTCTGATTCTAAGCCCATGACAAACTTTAAATGAGGGGAAAGACTGATGGAGCTGGAGAAAATCTGAGGATACAAAGACAAAGATGTGCAGAAAGAAACTGTAGAAAGAAGAAAATATTTGATAAAGAAATATTTAAATATGCAATATCTGAAGGGCTATGAAAATATAATCTTCTTGAGAATATTTTAAAAGTAACTGACTTTCAGAAAGTCTTATCATTGTAATACAGAATTATAGTACTTCAAAATATAAGTCATGAACAGATCAAGTAGAATGTAAAGTTTAGATGATCTAAGAGCCATCTATCTCTACTAATAAATTGTCAAGCCTGACCTTGCTATAAACAGCTTTGTTATGATGCCAGCCACTTTGTAAATCATGAGCTCAGGGTCACTAAATGAAGGCTTATACACTTTCTTTTTTCTTTTTTTTTTTGAGACAAGGTCTCAGTAGGTAGTCTAAACTGAGCCTAGGCTGGTCTAGAATTTATGGCAATCCTCCTGCCTCAGTCTCTCAAGTGTTAGGATTATAGACATGTGCCACTACCCCCAGCAAAGGCTTATATTTTCAGAGAAAGTTATGTAATTTTAATATTTATCATGATCCACTGATTCCACTTTCCAGAAAATAAGTTAATCTGAAAGTCAGATTCTTTTCAGGTAATCTATCTCAAAATAATGAGAAAATCTGGATTAACAGTTATGAATGTATATTAAATAATTCAATAAATCATAATCATATAACTATTTTAAAATTTAACATATTTTAACTGTGAATAGAGGTCAGCATATATAATACCCTATTTTACTCAATGTCTTTTACTAGATATTAAGTAAAACAATCTTTAATTCATGATAACTATGTGTTGCTCTATGCATAAATTAGCAGTAAATGGATCTTTTTGTTTTATGATTCAAATAGGTATTAATTTCTATTTTAGGTATTTACTTTTCAGAGAGAGGTGAATGGATGGGTACACTACACATTTCACTCTTCATTGACAATCAATAAACTAGTAAAGAATAGATTTTTTTGTAAATTAACATTTTATATTTTCAAGTGTTCCGCTGAATGACAGTAAATTTCAACTTTTTTTTTTTTTTTTGAGACATTGCTTATATGGTCAGAAAGTAGAATCCTGCAAGTCTATTATAAAAATCAGATGATCTTATGCATGTCCTGTTTACACATCTGAATGCTTACAGTCACATTTTTATATTGTTTTTACCCAAAGAGTTATACAAGAAAGAAGCACAAAAATGCATCAATGTGTGTAAAAAAAAAAAAAAAATAAAATGCTTTTATGTGTCAGAGAGTATTCTGTCTTGCCGAGACAAAATACCCAACACCCAAAATGAAGGAAGGCAAGGCTTACTTAGCTCACAGTTTGTAGAGGTTTCAGTCTACAATCGGCTGGCTCCATGTCAGGGTGGCGTGGCACAGACCTGATACTTCAAGGCAGCAGAAGACAGCACCAGCAACAAAAGCAAAATGAGGGTGAGGAGCCTCCTTTGCTCCAGTATATTGTAAGCAGGCCAGCACCCTCCAGGGCAGGTGTAGCACTCACACCATCTCCATGCCCTCTTCCTGCACAGGATGAGGATGTTTACAAAGTGAGGAATCTGGCCCCTTGCTGAGTTTCTTAGTTAAACATCTAAACTTCTCAAGTTGACACATATGGTTATGTTATCAACCATAACAATCACCCCTTGTCAACTTGGCAACCAGACATGGGTTTCCAGATACAAAGACATGCTGATTTTTATTTCACAACTTTAACATTGTAATGATGGTTTAACAATCCTTAAGACCTGGCATTAAATCTGTCAGCATTCTATTACACTAGAGCCTTACATTTCACTTCTGGTCCCCAAAAGACTCGTGCACATCCTTTTATGCAAAAGGCATTTAGTCTGTGTGCAAGAGTTGCCAAAGTCCTAATACTTTCAGCATTGCTGAAAACTCCAAGTCCCACCTCTCCTCCGAGATGTTTCACAAACTCTTAGCTGCAAATCCCTGCACAAATGAAAAGTTAAATGCTTCCAACGTTCAATGGCATAAGAGAAACATTTTCATTTTCATTCCAAAAGTTACAAACAGGGGGATACAATGTACTGGGACCAAAGCAAATCCATGATCCAGCAGGGCAAACATCTGAGGCAATCTATGGCAATTTCTGAGCTCCACAGGACTTGAGTGGCTCCACCTGTAGGGCACTTCTGGTGGCTACAGCTCCTACCACTTCTCTGTTAGGCCCACTGTGCTCCCTCCTTGCAGCTTTCCTCAGGTGACCCACTTTCCTGGCTTTTCCAAACTTCTGGAGACCCCACTGCACCTTCAGATTCACACTGACAGCTTGACATGCTGCTGTCTCAGGAGTACATTGCCTCAACTCCCAGACCTTCTGAAACTGAGGTGGAGACCTTCTAAATCCCATAATTCTTGCTTTCTGCATGCACTTAAAACCAGTGCCACGTGGATGATGCCAAAGCCTGCTGCCAGCTGGGGCAGTAGCCAGGTGTTCCTCTCTCTTGGCTGTAAAGGTCAAGTTCCTGGCTCTCTGGGCACTCTGAATCCAATTCTGAGGAACAACTTTTCTATGCCACCACTGCTCTGGAATATGGTACTCTGCAGCTTTTACCTCAAAGCAAAGTCTTTCACTTTTGCAATTTTGAGCCTGTAAATGGTGGAGACCTGCTGCTTTTAGTAATGCCTTCAAGTCATCTTTTCTATTCTCCAATTCCTTCTCAGCAATCCAGATTTCCGCAGCATTATTGTTGCAGTCCCCAGCTTTACTGGAGCTCCTTTTCTGGCCAAACACAATACATTTTAAATCACCCTCACTGGGCTTTTTGCTCTGTGTTCTTAAGCCCACAACAATAGCAATGCCACAGACTCAACACTCAGCTACAGTGAAAATTCTTCTGCCAGATTAATTAGTCCACTGTCCTTAATCTCAGGCTCAGGCAAAATCTCTACACTTGAGCAAAATGCGGACAAATTTTTTTCTAAGCCGTAACATACATAATCTGGAGTCTAGCACCTAATGCAGTCAGTCTTTCTGCACAGCACAGATCTCCTGAGCTTGGTCTTTACCAGCAGGATTTCTATCAGCTTTCTAGTGTTCTGAGCTCTGACCAGGATCTCCCATACAGAAGAGCCCAGGGCATTTGGGCTCTACTCTTTTAAATGACATCTCTGAATCTTCCCCCAAGCCATTCCCAAAGAGTCTTGAACCGCAGTGTCAGGTCTAGTCACAGTAATGAGTCTACTTCTCTGGTACCAAATTGTATCTTAGTTATTTTTTTCTTATTGCTAAGACAAAATACCCAACATCCAAAATAAGGAAGGTTCATTGTATGAATGTTCGCTTTGTATGCTTTAATTTTGTAATTTGGACAACTGTTTCTGGGATGACAGTGTGTGACCTATTAGCTAGTGATATCTTACTGTATTTTTTTCTTGAAATTCTGTATTATTTGTACCCTTTTACTGCTTTTTTAAAAATTTCCTTTCTTTTTTTCTCTTTAAATTAAAAACAAAAACAAAAACAAAATAAGGAAGGAAAGGTTTATTTAACTCACAGTTTGCAGAGATTTCAGTCCATAATCAGCTGGCTCCAGGGCAGGGTGGCGTGGCACAGGGCAACACTTCAAGGCAGCAGAGGACAGCAATAGAAACAGGAACCAAAAAGGGGGTGAACAAGTCTCCTTTCCTCCCTTGTACTCTAAGCAGGCCACCCCAATCCCATAGGCTCTCATCATCTCCATGCCCTCCTCTTGCACAGGCTCAGGATGTTTACAAAGTTACCTCTGTGAGTTGCTTAAACTTCTTAACTTCTGGAGTTGACACAATGTATCAACCATGACTGAGAGTTTGCTGAAAAGTATTAACAATATGAATTCTTCCTTTCCCCATTTTAGTTAGGCTCACAGAAACTACTGTGCCTCAAATGCATCCCTTAAAAATCCATGCTGAGGGGCTGGAGATTTAGCTCAGTGGCATAAGTACCTGCCTTGCAAGCAGGCGGTCGTGAGTTCGATCCTCGGTACCAATTAAAAAAAAAAAAATCCATGCTGGAAACTTACTGTTCAAAGTCATGTATTAATGACATTTTGAAGTACCCCTGAGAGAGGCAGGTGATTAGCCCTGGAAGAGGCCAGGAGCCTGGGGCTCACAGGTTGGCATGAAGAATCTTATGAGAAGGGAGGTCTGGGTCTCACTGTGGAATGCCCACTGTCCTGGTGTGGTGCAGAGAGGAGTCTGTCCATGGATAACCAGTGTGTATGGCTCCGTGCCCTAGGCCCTCCCACCCTCCAGAGCTACCTATAAAATAAACATCCGTGCTCTGTAAATCACTAGGTCTCAGATAGCTTATGGAGACAATAGAAAGTGGACTAAGACACCTTGCTGAAGACTACTTTTCTGCCTGCACTAAAAGGTAGATGTGGCCATGGGGCCAATTTTTGGCCATACAGGTGTGCAAGGAGGCAGTGTATGCTCTTTAGGACTTAGGAACAGAGGAGAGGGGCGGGCGTTTTGCTTTCATCCCCTCTTGCCAGTACGCTGGAGTGCAGGTGTGATGGTGAGAGCTGGTCACACTGCGACCTGGTCCAGAATCTGCAGGAGGATGCTGGGTAGCAGCACGCTGGGTGGGGGCCTGGATGAGCTGATGTCCAGGAGGCTGCTGCACCATGGCCCCTTTTCCTAAGAGAATTAGGTACTGAGATCTTGCTTGGGCCACTGGTGTGCTCTCATTTTACAGTAGTCACACCACGCAGAATTCCACGCAGCTTCTAACTCATTTCAAGAAAACACCCAAGGTTGGATCTGAAGAAAGATTTTAAGGGTCTAAGTTGGCCACAGGATTTGTCTAACTCACAGATCAACCTCAGCCAGCAGAATTTGCTGCCACTTGGACCTGTTCTCCTCTGTCCAGTTCAGTAGCCACTGATCACATGTACGTGCCTAGTATTTGAAATATAGTTTTGCAAAGGAATTAAATTTTAATTTTACTAAATTTTAGGTAATTAAAATTTAAATAGTTGTAAGTGGCTAGTGGGTACCTTCTAGCACTGTGTAGTTAAAATCACACTATTGCCCAGTAAGAAAACCCAAAAATCAATCAGAGGAATGCTGCCAAAAGTATGTTAGAACAAGGATTAAATGTGTGTGCTTACGGCTCAGCTTACCAAGAGGCTCATTTCTTTAGTTTGTAGATGTGAGTTCTGAAGTGCATTTTTTCACATTCAAATCATTGTACTCAATTCCTATGTATTTGCAGAAATAGAAAACACCTTGATGGGTTCTGCCACCTGCTCTCTGTAGCTGCAGACCAGGCTGACTCTCAGGTTACAAGAAGATGCCAGACGCTAGTCAAGAAAAGCTGTGTCCTGGCTGGGGCTTCCATCCAGAGGGCCCTCTACTTCCTTACGGTGTGTGTTTCTACCAGAGAGTGGATTTGTCTAAGGGATCCTCTGTCTTCTTCTTTCTCTTTTTTTTAACACATGGAGGAGAGCAGGTTAACACACCACATTCCTCGGGTCACTTTTCTTTGCATTTCCAGATGATTGCTAGTGGCTTATCCAGTAGAATATTGTTTAAAAAATCAAAAACAGAATGAGAGTTTTATACATTCTAAGTTCCTCTTTTAAAAACTATTGGGTGTTATTAATAAAAACTGCCTGCTCTTTACTCCCTTAAGCTAGAGAAGAAGGGATTCTACCTAGGCTTTGGGGCACTGGTACACTGGGGGTCTTGTTAGGAGTTAGAGACAAGAGCAAGCACAGGTGCTCGCACAGACAAGGTTGCTACGTGATAACCAGGCAGAAACATCACAGAATCAAGGACTTTTACATTCTTCACAGGTGTGATTTTTTCACCGTCAATCTTCTCTAACAATGAATTTGAACCTTTCCTTCAATACATTTATGATTTATAAGTCTCTGAATACATTAAATTGGAGAGTGCATTTGAAAATACAGCATCCAAAAGTCACCATCACGACATTCCTTTTGTGATACAATTTTCAAGCGTGTTTTTAATGTTTGAAAGATGAGCAACCGTACTATATGTTTTTCACATTGGTAAAATGACCCCCTGGGAGACATGGATTGAAGAAACACAAGGGACATTCACTGATTAGTGACATTCTGTCAGTTTGGCCATTTATACCTTTTCTCTTTGCCCTCTGTGTGACTCTGCACTACCCAAACTATTTTTCCCAAAATCATAGATGAGGAAAAGGAGACTAAAGAGGATAAATGATATTGCTCACAACCCACCAGTTGGACAGGTAGGGAAAAAGTGAAAGCCATGATTTCCATTCTTCCTAACCTGGTGGTCTTTATGTCAGATAGTTGTCTCAGTTTAATATTAGTCCTCCTCTGCAGGGGCTCTTTCTATTTGTTTGACTTAGCTAGCCCAGTCGCCCTGACAGGAGTGCAGAACAGGTTGGCATGGAAGATTAAAGCCATCAACTGCCTGGATTCATTTGCCTCTCGTGCAGTGTTTTATTTTGTTTTCACTCTGTCTTTTTAATTGCGCGCCATCACACCAGCCAGGGTGCCGGGAAAGTGCACATCTTGGTAAAGCCTAAAGCGAGCATAGCAAACACTCAGTCCAGAAACAGATTCCTGCTCCCTAGTTTCTGCCCTCCAGGAAAATTGCTACTCCTCTTGCTGACAAAAAATAACCGCTTCTTTGCCCTTTGTGGATAGTTAATTATGCATAAATCCACAAACAGTACTGTTCACATTTTTAATTAAATATAATGAAATACAGTAGAAATATTTTCCTTTATTCTTTATTCAGTATTATGATGTGAGATTTATCTCAGCCTAGTGTACCATGTATTGTGGAATTAATTTACAAGTAGGTACCACTTACTGTGAAACTAAGAAGCCAGAACCACTTAAAATAATATCTTCGAAGTATTCTGAGCCCCCAGAATTCACAATTATGTGTCAGAATTAGAAATTTTTTTTTTAGTTTTTAAAAGAATGAAATAAGGTTTTCTACAGATAATACTAAAATCTGAGAGAATTTATACCATCATTTAACAAAATTTTAAGAAAGATACTTCAGGAATCATGAGATACAAAAAGAGATGGTGAGCAGAGATAGTTATATATACAAAAGATTTTAAAATTCAGAAAAAATATTATGTATGACTGTCAGTATTAAAACATCCTAATAACAGTATCATTTTTAAAAGATGCAAAATATTAATGTTATACTTTATTTAAAAATTCTGTGGGAAATCACAAAGGGGTAAGTATAAAAGGATAAAGACTCAACTATAAATTTCAAGCATACGGAATGAAACATGTAATGAAGCAGAACACTGAGCTGAGTCATGTTCTATTTCTGATACTGCATCACGTGATGTGGCAATTGAAGATTTTTATTTTTTGTCAATTTCACATGCTAGAAAAGTATTTTTACATGAAAATATAAAAATTTAGAAATGGAAAAAATCACACAGCGGGAATATCTACCACTTGAGTCTGATCAAAATATAACTCATGCCTTTTTTTTTCCTTTCTACTTACCCGTACTTAACAGAAAGGTTCCTCTCGCTGACATCTCAGGAACTGTACTCAGACCTTCTTGAACGTGCAGAGGCTTCTTTTGTACTTCTTTCTCACTTTGTCTGGTTCTGCCTGAAATGACCAGCTGGCACTGAAGTTGATGGCAAATGTACTTCCCTCGCAGAACCAGAAGCCACCGTCTTCATTCTGTCCCTCTGGTTTCCCGTCCTGTCTTGTCTTTTCCTAGTGGACTTCCCTTAAGGAGACTCAGATACACTGTATGTAAGGTCACCGAGGATGTTTGCCACTGATGTGATTTATAATTTTAAATACATGGCGTATGCCTTGAAAAGGAATCTTCAGTCTAAATGAATGATATTTGCCTATGAGCTTGTAAAAATAAAGCAAAGATCCACCCGTTAAATTCCTGGGTGCTGGGCTGCTACAGCGCTGTCTGGTTTCACCGTTCTTCTAACTGAGCAGTGTGGCTCCCACCCACCAGATCCCTGATTCCATTTTCAAAGCCATGTCATTTTTAGTTTAAAAACCTAAAAGCGGAGGCATCTTTTTGCCTGCGGTAAACTTAATATTTAAACAGAGTCAGCCTGAGTAATATCCTCATGCAGTCGTGGCTTTTCTCTTTCATACCTCCAGATTTACAAGTAGGATTTGATGAGATACTGTGATCATACAAAATCCCCAATATATCTTGCCTGTATGTGGATTTCATCTACTCACAGTATGTCACCACAGTTGTACGTTAGTAACTTACTCTACACTTGTGGTTGCAAAGAAAAAAACAAAACTGGGTGGTACATGGTGGTTTAATAAAGGTTCAAATTCAGATAGAGATATGATGAGCTCACTGGAATTATGGAAAATATCATAACTCTAAGAGCGCATCAAGGTTGGAGTTAGTTATTTTAGCTAGAATATTGCTAGTGTGCAAAAAATGCGCATCATGAGGGGCTTAAGAGGATTTTCATATTTAATTCTATGTACTGCATTCTTTTTTATTACAATGAATTATATTAAGTCCACTGAAAGTAGACTATTAAACATGTTCCCAAGTGCCCACTTTCTAGGTTTAAAAATGCAACATTTTATATACAATTTAGGCTTTCTTTATATTATTTCTCAATTTCATTTTTCTATCTCCTTTATTACCCAGGGATGCAGTATCTCAAATTTCACATTTAACATTCTTGTGTGTATTTTATATTTTCATTCAGTATATTTTTACTCAAAATGCAAATTTGCTTGTAGAATGTTCTTAAATTTCATATGAAAGTAACATTCTATAGTTAATTTTTTATCTTTGAATGCCTTTTTGAGGTTGGTTCATTTTCATGTAATTTTCTCCATGTCACTAATTTTCCCTTTGCATCCATCTTTCCTGATAGATACGGATATAGGGGAATGAAACTCTCAACCTACTATGTCCATGACTTTGTGTATTCTAAAATTAAAGAATGAATTTTAGGAACAATGGAGGTGAGAGTAGAATATATTTATTGAGAGAAAGAAAGCTTCCATCTGAAGAAAGAGAGAAGGGGTCCCGAGGGATCCCAGAAGGGGTCCCCAGTGGTTGTCAAGGACTCTGTCTTTTCCAGGGACTTTTATAGAATAAAACCATGGGTTCAAGGCAAGGGGAAAACTGGGAACTCACAAGGTAGATGGGCATAAGGTGGGACCTAACCATAGCTAGCCAATAAGATCAATAGTTGAGGTAAAATTGGTTACATTAGGGACAAATGGGGAAGTGAGTCACTTAGCAGGCATTCTTACAGAGCTGTGACTCTCTCCTGGGGAGTTAAAATGGTGACTCTAGACTTTCTCAGGGTAATAGAGAGCTATTTAGAGTGTCAGTCCTTAGGATGTGGATGCATTTTTTGATTCTCTGTCTTGAGGTCTGGCCCACAGCAGGAGTCTGTCTCCCCTACAGTTGCAAAGTATCTGTACTGGTTCCTTTGAGGGCCTAGTTCTGTCTTACTGCCTATAAACATTTTTAACTAACTCGGATGCCTGCAACGATACCCAAGTATTTTATGCTTTCTCATTGTTAATAAACTTAGTGATATACATATTTGCATGTGGCTCCAACCAAGAACCATGCTTAATTCATTGTAGACTAAATGCATAGTTGTTTTAGAATTATGAACCGCATCCAGAGTAAACCATTTTAACCACGTGTACTTCTGACAGGACACATACTGCTCCTTTGTTTTAGTCTCACAGACATCATCACTTTTTACCAAAACTCCTTAGATCAGTGCTTTCCCCCTCCCTTGTAGTGTGTGCGGTTCACATGTCTGTAATATAGTCACATTCTCCTGTCAGATTCCATATCCTGTCCTGTGTTCTGCCACGCCCTAAATTCTTTTTGAAAATTGTACATTAAATTCCATCCTGTGATGCAAAGGTCTTTGTGGTCTGACAAATACATATTATGTTTCTCATTACGACATTCTACAATTATAGGTACCATATTTCTACAATAACACTGTTATGCAGTATTTTTACTGTCAGCCAATTCCCCTACATTTCACCAACTCAACCAGAAAACTACACATTTGCAAGTGGATGCACACACACACACACACACACACACACACACACACACACGTCCCTCTCTGGTAACCACAAGTTTTTCAGCATCTCTGAACGTGAGCCTCTTTTATAAAAGACTTAGGATCACATAGTATTAAACCTTTTGATGCTGACATTTATTTATTTACTTATTTATTTTTATCTTGTTTGGCAGTATATTTTTAAGATTCATCTATTTCTTTGTGTGCCTGGATGGGTCCTTCCTTTTTATCTCTGAACCATGCCTAATTGTATAGATGTACTACAGTTTGTTTATACATTTTACTGTTTGATATGAATGCTCTCTGTTCCCATTGTTGTGGCAAAATTATTGAGAAAATGCCCACAGAAAGCCGAGAATCAGGAAACAAGCAAGTTTTATTCAGTCGGCTGAGTGATGCAGTCAACATCCCATCATGACACACATCCACACTGGTCTTTGATCTCTCTCAAGTTTTATAACTTTCCTGTAACCATGGTAACCTTATCACTTCACCTGGAATTGACAAAGTTTTCAGTTATCATAGCAACCCTATTGCATTTAAAGTCCATAAGAGTGCTATAGGATCTCCTTGTTAATTAACCGGGATGCAAGCAAGGGTGATCTTGACCACTGTGTGCTAAAACCATTTGTCTTTTGGCATCTAAAGAGGGAGATTCTCAGGAATTCGGGGTGGAGTTCCCTAAAGGATAACTGTAAACTAAAATGTAGTCTAAAAGACAAGATGGAGTCTAAATTTCTTTCACAGTATCAATTCCCTAAGATGAATGTTATGAATAAAGTTGCTGTAACCATATGCAGGTTTTCATATGGAGATAAATTTTTAAACCCATTGTGTTTATACCCAGGGGAGCCCTTGCTGAATTATATATTGAGATCTTGTTTAACTTTTTAGGAAACCACTGAACTCTTTTCCCAGCTGCATACCTAGCTTTGCATTTTCTTTTGTAACCTGTGTTTATGATGCCCTCTCATCCCTCAGAAATTGATTTTTGTCAAGTCTGTAAGGATCTAAATCATTCTAATAGGTGTGACATGATTTCCCATTAGCAATTTAATTTGAATTTCCCTAATTATAAATGAATATGAGCGTATTTTCATATGTCTATTTGTGATTCATTTATTTTCTTTCGTGAGGCATGAGCTCATACTTCTTGATTGGGTTTCTTATTGTTAAATTGAAAACATCTCTAAGCTACAGTGGCTTTACAAGATATATATGGTTTGCAAATATTTTCTTCTTGGTTTGTGGTTGAGTTTTTATTGTTATATACACAATAATAAAGTAAAATTTTATTTCTAAATTATTAATAGTCACATAGTCTCCAGCTTTTATGTGGTTGGTCATTCTGCTATCTATTTTAGAGACGAGGTATCATTGCTGGCAATATATACACATAAAGAGCCACTTGTAAGAATAGAGTATTTTCTAGATGTCTGGAAGAACTCTGTAAGTAATGTAGCCCATTTTAATAGTAGTAAAAAAATCACATCACATTGATAATAGTCATAAAGCAAAGACTTTTGAACACTGGATGCTAAGTACTAAAATGTCAATGAACAGAAGAGCATGAACCCCTTCATGCAAGAGAGTAATGGCTTTGAGAAGAGAGGTAGCAGTGGAGGGCAGTGTGTACTGGCACAGATGGTTAGCGCAGGGGAGGGACCGTATTTCTTCTCCCCCACACAGTGTCTCTCAAGGCTCAACCAGAAACAGGCGCTAAAGGCAAAGCTGAGAAGGGAAATGACAAAGAGAAATCCACACAGACTTTAGCAATATTAAAGAAACCAAACAGAAGGAGAGACAGGAGACAAAGTGGTGTATGGGAACCCAAAGTGATGGTCACTGGCGGGAACATTGGTCCATGGTAGGTCAATTTGGAGCTAGTTGAAAATAAAGAAGAGATGGGACAAGGCCAGAAAGATTTGCTGCACCCCTGGATGGATGCAAAGAGAAGAGGAGGGGAGAAAATATTTGCATTCAGTTTTCTTGCTATCTTCCACTGTTCTATGAAACGTTCATATTGGTAGATCCCAAGCTAAAGCCAGTAGTCAAGGTAGCCTACCTGGATAATTTAGGACACTCCATCTCAAAAATCCTCATTTTTGGCATATCTGCAAGGTTTCTGTTGCCATGGAGAGTAACAATCACAAGTACAGAAATTAGACTCTGGATATCTTTGAGGGTAACCATAGAACCCGCCACAACTTTTGTATTTGTGTGAGATTGGATTATAGGTTGTATATAAAATGCAGTGCTAATAATGCAAAATCAGATGTGTGCTAGAGTGAGAGAGAAAATAAATGAGGGAAAGAGAACGTTTTAGTTCTTGGAAAATATCCAAAGTTTGTTCTTTTTCTTTCAAAATAGATTAGGGCCCAATAAATCTTCATATTGAACAAAATTCCCTCATGTAGAATTAGAGGCTCATACTGTTCTTCTTTCATCTTAGAAGCTTTTAAAGATGAGGATTCAGACTGTCACGTATTTCTGTTCAAATGAGTACATTCGAGGCTTGCCACTGACTCCTCCCCATACTTAAAAGATGTTAAGAGCAGCACACCACAGCCCTGTTCCCCAACACCAGAGAGGATGCCTGTGGCCCTGAGAGGAACTGGCTATCACCTCAAAGCTCAAAGAGGATCCTAGCCTGAGGCTGTGCATACAGCAGACCGAGCTGCTTCCCTGCTCAGAATCTCTCCTGTCTTTATAGCAGTTGCATGCGTCATATTTCATATGTTTTCTGGTTTGTGGGGATATAAATTGTATGATTAAGAGCAAAGATATAACTTCCTTATAACAAATACAAGAATATTTCCCATTGTAGAGCTCAGAATTTTAAGTCAATGTTTTTACT